ACTGGCCTCTGTCATAGATGGCAATACAAGTTGTCCTTCACGTATCCGGAAGTATTCTGATAGCCATCCGGCACCTTGCCGTATGCTTCTCATAGATCTGCTGTTTACAGATGCTTCAAGACGCTGCCAAGCGGTGTTGCTAGCGGCAGTCTCAATTGTACACATCCGCCATTGTGATCGCATTGTGCTTGTGCTGTATTGTGACTTATAACTCTCAGATAACCGGCATATTTAATTAACCAGCAACCCCCATTCCCCATGGATGCCAGATAACAGAGCTTTTACTGTATTTGTACTCACGCTGGCAATGGGCAGCATCAAGGTACAGCCCCAAACTGTCTTTGAGCCTGCATGTGTTTGGATCTGGGTTGTTAGCTGAGTCTACAGAAGTGAAAGGAACCATAGGCAAAGTTCAGACCCAGATGCAAACTACCTTGGAGCTTGATAGCAAGCGTTCCTATCCAGGCATCTGTTCAAACCTTTCTCTACTCAGTGGGCACGTCTACATGAGCCCCTAACTGCTCAGTTGGTACTACACAGTCCTGGCAGTGCATGGGTCATTTCTGACTCTACTGTGCAGTAGCAATGAACTACTGTGTAGTAGCTTGTTGCTGCTGCACAGTAGCTTTGGCATCCTGGTTCATGCCTGCTGATGCTACATCACCATAGCAATGAGCTAGGTCGCCATAGTGTTTCATGTAGGCGTGCCCAGTGTGTACAGTAAAGCCACTAGCTGTAAATGTAGCCCTTACTGCACTGACGCATGTAGAAATTTGCTTACTTGTTCTGTTCCTCTAGTGCTTTCCCTTGGTGGTTATTCAGCCTAAATAGTCATAAACATAAATAGGATCCAGTTGCATGAGAACGGAAAGACAGTACTATCCCTTGACCTAAGACATGTTCATGTAACCTGAGTAGCAGTAGTATAAAGTTACTTGCTGGAAACTGCAGCAATTCATATGATTCTGCTTGGGTTTTCAGGAAAAGGAGGTAATGGCTTTTTGCTGTGGGAGTGCAGTGACACTGGGGCACAGGTAGGAAAGGGATAGCTGTGAAGATATTTATTTCCAGACTGCTATTTGTGTGCAGGGGGGAGAGAGGGGGAACAGACAGGTGACATCAGGCAGTACGAAACATGGGATCATAGAATCATACATAATTAGGGTTGGAAGGGACCTCAGGACATCATCTAGTCTGAGCCCCTACTCAAAGCAGGACCATCCACAACTATAGGATAATTTCTTTTGATGCACAGGAGTCATTTTTTTCACAATGACAAGAAGAAATGAAACAATTCAGGTTATAGCTACGTGGCCTAATGCAGCTCTGTGTAGAGATCCCCTCAAAAGCTTGATATGTGAACCTGGGTGGAGCCCCATGCTATCACACCTATACTGCTATATTGGCCATCTCTACATCTAAGTCCTGTTTAGGTGCCTAGTCAACTCATCTAAATCACCCCAATCCTTCAAACACTTATATACATTCTTCATTTTACTACTGTGAGCAGTCCCACTTCGATTAATCAGGGCTGTTCACAGTGATAGGGCAAGGCATGTGCCTAAACATTCTCAAGATTGGAGCCAAAGGTACACTGATGGAATTGAAATGAATCGAGGTTATCATTCTAATAGATGAGAAAGCGATATTGAAGCTGGAAGTGTGAAATTTACTCTGAGAAACATGGTTTCACTCTAGTCGCTAACAAATTTACCATTGACTTGAAGAGGGTCAGGATTTCACCCGTGGGGGAGAGTAGGGGAGGGAAGCGTTGACTGGAATATAACAAATTGGACTTTGTTGCAAAATGACAGTCAAATAGATCATTGCACTGAGTTTCTCATGATGGCAAAATAATGATAATATATCCATTTCTGATCTGGCACTTTCAAGGACTGCTCCCCCCACCCATTCTGCAGTTTGAGTTTATGTTCCATGTCACTGACAAGAGGATAACCATCATCTTGACCTAGATGTCATCTGTTTTGCCTCTCTAGTTTACAACAACTTGTATCTGTTTCAAGTTTGTGAATAGTGATAAATGGCAGAGACTTTTTTAAAAATCTATTTTTCTATTTTAATGTAACATTTTTAAAGTGGTTTTTAAGCCAGATCAAAAGCCCTGGAGCATGAGATTCTTTGCTTATATAGTAGGTGCACAACAGACAATAGGTGCAATGCAGCTCCCCATGTTGCCCTGCTACATGCTTCAAATCTGACCCGGAGAAACCGCCTTTAGGGCAACAGTTTTAAAAGTAGGAGTCAACCCTGTTTAGGGTTGCAGTACTCACCAATGGAGTTGTGGGCACTGAAAAGGCTTCGACTTCAAGGTTACAAACCAGTGATAAGTTGGGTCGTGAGCCTGGGAGTGACACTGCAGCTCAAAAACATTGGAACTGCTGCTCTAAGAGTGATGAAGTAGTTCATTCTTCCAGCTCATTCAATTTATTGGAAATTGAACCAAAGTCTGCCTGGTAAGAGTATCAATGAGGGGACCCATAATACTATTAGTGTCAACTGTGATAGTGATACCTGCCTATTGGCAAATGAACTAACACCGCATTTCAGATGGGAAAGTCATTAGTAATCTGGGTGAGATTTAAACAAACTGAAGTGATGGAAGCATTCATATCTCATCAGTTACCTACTAAATGAAAAAGATCATGGAAATGAAATGAAATGTTACTGATTTTTTTTTTTGTTTAAGTTTTTAAAACTAAATATCCAACATGAAGAGGATATCAGTAGCAATACTTTCCTCCTATATTTCTTATTTTACAATTAAACTCCTGAAAATCTGTAAAAGGTTAGCTCCTGCTTTGACTGGCTTCTTACATAGGATGCCTGTCAGTAGACACTTGATGTAAATCATCTTGCAAGTATTTTTTAATCTTAAGAATTCTTCTTTTGCCAAAGATGCCCCAAGGGTTGCAGATCAGTCAGTTCTTAGAGATTAGGCTTTCCAAGAGAAAACAGAGAGGTGGGAGCTGGCCGATTTGGTCATCAAACCAAGCACATTCAAAAGTACAATGAAAGCTGGGTAGATGAATACCTCTTAGAGGAATATGCTTGGTTCTGTCAAGCTGGAGGAAGTGCTTTAGTTGGAGAGCTCTCCTGACCCATGTATGTACCCCTGGTACTACATCAGCTCTGAATCAGCTCTTGACTTTGTGTCTTAGGAAGATGAGGCTACACTCACCCACAGTCTTCTGCTACCTCACAAGACTGACTGATGGGCTTGGAAAGCCATTAAAGTACCTCACTCAATATTCATCTGGCAGGGAAATCAGTTTCTTTGGATAATAAAAGAGGAAGCTGGTTTGATAGCATGTAGTGGGTCACTTCTGGGCCCTACTGTTCAGCCTGCAGAGGAATAGAGGGTTTTGTGATGTGTTATTATTCCTTTGTATTGATTACGTGCATAGAGGGTCCGCCACCACTTGGAGGTGATCAACATAATTGAGCCAGCATGAGGGGGAAATAAGCTGCTCAAGGAAAAGGGCTGGCATAGCTGACTACTCCCGTGGAGCAATGTTGAGGTGGAGACTGTATCGTAATTGAATTTGATTTCTGCTGAACTCTTTAAATAGGATTACACCTGCTTTCATGGTTTACTTTTCCAAATCTCCCCTCCAAATGTTTTTATCTTCCAATCCTTGTTTTAGATTGTAAGTGTTTTGGGGCAGGGTCCATCTTTTTCTTCTTTTTTTTTAAGGTGTCTCATGTTCCATGACTGGAGTACTCAGGCACTACCACTGTGCACATAACAGTACATCTTTATCTGTACAAACAGATTGTCTGTGCAAACACGGATAGGGATGGGGTGGAGATTAGCAAAGGAAGGGACCAGGATCTCTTCAGCCTCCATAAGAGAAGGCTGAGAGGTAATATAGTGGCCTTCTACAAACTCATTGCAGGAAGGGGGAGAGGGCAGCAAGAGATAGGAGATACTCTGTTTACCAAGGCACCTCTTGGAGTAACTAGAAACAACGGCCACAAACTGACAGACAGCAGATTAAACTAGACATCAGGAAGAACTTCCTGGTAAGGGTTACCAGAATCTGAAATGGGCTTCCAAGGGAGGTGGTGCTCTCCCTTACCTTGGGGGTCTTTAAGAGAAGACTGGACAAACACCTGGGGCTGGGGTCATCTGACCCCAGGGCTCTTTCCTGCACAGGGCAGGTTGTCAGACTCGATGATCTACTGAGGTCCCTTCCGACCCCCAAAATCTATGAAATCTAGGGAGCGTCAACTCAGGAAGGGAACTGGAAAGTAATATTAGGTGGAAGAGTATGAGGCTGCAAGATGCGCAGGGCCATAAAAGATGTTCTAAGAATAAAAGATGTCATGAGAAAAAAATGGATATAGAGCTTCTGGTGAGAAAAAAAGATAAAGGGGATGAAATGTGTCATCCAACAGAACACAGGGTGTGCACCGGGACACAGCAGCAACTAGAATGAAACAGAGTTCAGGGCAGAGACATAGAGATAGCTAGTAAATACAGATCAATGACCTGCAAAATTATAAAGTCCACCACTGAGGAACATTATGTTATAGAGTGTTAATCTATGCCCAGACAGATGTTCTTTTAAACTCTCCTTCTGTTCCCGCTGTCGCTTATAATAAGATGTTACTAGTCCGTTAGCAAGTCAGAGAGACTTTTTTTTCTAGAGCCTGGGATGCTGTACAGTTTGGGATTAAGGAAATCTGCCTTTTAATTTTTTCTCTCCCACTTTTTTCTGCTCCTCAGACCAAACTCAGTCCTGGTGAAGTCAGTCTTGTCATACCATGGCTTAATCCTGTTCCCACTGAGGTCTTTGCGGGGTTTTCCTTTTGGCTTCAGTGGGAGACAAATGAGCCCCTTTAAGAGCAGTAATTATTTGCACAGATCAGCCCAAGTCCCAGCAGGCTAATATCTGTCATGACGACTGCTTCTCCTGTAGCACTTGCCAGCCCCTACAGTGCAAAGTCAATAAGGCTTTTCCTTTCTGAATTTGCAGGCTTGGAGATCATGGCGAAGGATGAAGTTGAAAAAGCCACCACTGGCTGGATTCTGCTTCTTGCTTGCCTTGTCTGTGGTGGCATTTACTAGTTTTCCTCCATGGTGTCCAAACAGCTATGTAGAGCCTGGTTTCCAATACTTGGCACTAGCTGAACCACACAGAAAAGTTATCCAGCCCAGGCGTCTGTGGATGAATACCACTGACTCCGTTGTTTGGCAGCCAAGGGGTTTTGGCCATAGAAAAGGGGACCAAACTCCCCATGGCACCAATCAGAGAAGGCAAGCCTCACATAAACCCAGGCTGGCTTACAAGCAAAAGAACAAGCCAGGTGACCAGCTCACACAAAACCACAAGCAGTTGAAAGAGAAGAGAAAGCACAATAGGCAGATGAGAAAACGTAACATTATGAAGAAAAGCGCTGAAGAAAGCAGTAAGCTATGGTATGAAAGCATTCCCCTCAGGACCAACACTGAAAAGAAAAGGGAGCTTAATGATAATTTCCATGCACTTGAAAGGGAGAAAGTTGTTATGGGACCATCAAGGAAGGGGGCCCCCTTCTCTTCTTTTTCAGTCAGCAATAAAAGACATGTATGGTCTGGAAGTCCTGGGTTTGTTACACTTCTAAAGAACTCTACTGTAGGCCAAGTGGGGCCACAGGACCAGAACAAAGCAGGAGCACATTCACCTGGGGCTGGGCAGCAGCATTCAGAATTGGTGAAAGCTTTTCTCTCAGAAGCAGGTAACAGGCTTCCCTTCAAAAACACAACTGGTGCTAAGAGATGGGCAGACAGTCTCTCACAACATCCTGGAGAACAGGGAGGTCACTTTTGGATGGACATGGCAGAGAGGTTACAAACCTCTGAGTGGTGTATGAAGATGCCAGAGGCTGCCTTTCCTGCTCAAAGAAAAGGTGGCCTGAGGTTTGGTGGGAAGAAACCACCGTGGCTTACAGAGGACGATGTGCAGAAGATGAAACTTTTGGCAAACAGTGAGGTGGTGTCCAAAACCAGAATTCCTGCCCATGGGCAAATACTCAGAGTTAGCCTTTCAGCTGGCCAGGACACAGTCTCCTCTGACCTGAAAAGACCTTGCTTGGACGGGTTCTGTGGATTAATAAAACGGCCCAGTGACCTCTATGAGGTTCTAGCCTTCCATTTGGACAGAGTATTGGGGTTGAACAGGAGTCTGCCTGCAGTGGCCCGTAAATTCAAGAGCCATCTGCTTCCCTACAAATACACCAACGGTGAAGCGAGACCCATTATATGGTGGGCACCAGATATCCAGCACCTTGATGATGTCAACAATGACCAGAACTCCTTTGCACTAGGGTGGCTTCAGTACCAGGATCTACTGCAGCTGCGGTGCGGCATGGTAGATTCCACTGCACCTCTTGGAAGAGCTCCTTGCTTGAGCATCCAGCACACAGAATGGACCAAATTGGCACTCTTTGATTTTCTTCTACAGGTATGCTGGGTGTTGAGAATAATTATTTTCTTTCTCCTTTCTTCTCTGCATTCCCAAGGTATTAAATAGGACTCTGTGTATGTTTGTGTGGTAATGTATTTGTAAGGAGATAAATGCACATAGCTTCAAGTCTTGTTTCAGTGAAGTAATCACTTACCTTTGCAAAGCAGAGGGTTTTACATTACTGGGGGCACAGACATAAGTGTGTCTCCCTGGTGTAACTCAGAATGCTTTGCAGGACGTGTTCTGAGTTACAATACTTTCCTGGACCAAACAGAAGTTCACTGTTGGTTCCAGGGGGGAGGGGAATGTAGCGGCTGGCTTCAAGCCTGCAGCTGGTTTCCCCTAGCAATGGCTCCTCCTCCCTCCCAGCCCACACTGTTTTCAGAATGGGAGTGGGGGAAAGGGAACTCATTCTAGTGGTTCCCCAGTTGGTGCTGGAGGGTGAGGTGGGTGGATTGGAGAGTTCCCTTTCTCCCCTCCCATTCTGAAAACAGTGACAGGCTGGGAGGCAATGCAGACAGAAGTTACTGAAGATGCTCTGTTTTGAAATGTCTCCATCTCCTTGTGCAATGAAGGTTCAGATTTTTGTGGGATCAGGCCCTTTTAAAGTGCTTTGCAGCTGTGCAGTTCTGTTTGCTCATGGCTGTAGAGCACTTTCAGGGGCAAGATCAGCAAAACTTGTCACTTCTGTCTGTGCCCTGGGAACTTATGAAGACCTCCAACTCTGAAGCACCAAAGAAATGTGAGTCAAAGCAACCCAGCATAAGAACACTTTTACTGTGATAATGATACGTAGCACATCTAAAAGACTTTCCTTGTTCCTAGCTTGTGATATTTATAAGTGCTCTATAAATATAAATTAGCCTTAATAATTCCACCAAGGGGGAGCTGAGCTAGTGTTATTATCCCAGTTCTCCCTATAGGAAATCTAAGACCGGAAGCAAGGCTATGTAGTATATCAGTGAGAGACCTTGGATTACCTGTCAAGGATGTCTGGTTTCCTGAATTGTCAAAGAAAACCATACAAGGGTCTCCATCCACAACTGTGCAGCCTGATCTCAGACACAGCACAGACCAAATCATGCTGTGGAGGAGAGAAAAAAAATGACGGAGAAAGCAGACTATAGAAATCAAAATTCAAGTTAGAAATTAAACCCACTGATTTCATTTGTTTTCTAAGTAGGACTGAGGCAGGTGCATTTTTCCCATACAGATTGTCATTTAACTGGCTCACTGCTGAATACAAAAAAATTAAAGTTTAAAACAGAGGTGTTTTTTTTCTCTGAGTGGCATTCGCTCAGCATCTAATAATTTATCTAATGACTCCCCACTCCTGCACTAAAATAGGTTTACAATGCTATCATTTTGTCCTGCTCACCACATCATCACCCTGTGGGTGCTAATCTTTACTCAGATTAGTAGAGTTCTCAGTACCATTTGATAATAAACCTGTAACATGGAATTTAATTTTACAAGCTTTACTCAGCCAAATCATCCCATTGACTGCTGTCATAAATCACTGTGGATCCACTGAAGACAAAGGAGCTACAGTGACTAGAATGTAGGTAAGTAGCTCAACCTTTGGGCCCCATAAACCAGATGGATGTTGTAGGGCTGGTTCTTGAGCTGATCCCATGAGTGGGATTGATCTGTGGGCCTCATATACCATGATGTCAGTGTGCAAAGTTGGTCTGTAGATGTGGTCTGGCACACCAGGTCCAACCACGGAGTGATGACATACTAGCTTGGCCCTGCCCACCAAACCTAGTCATGGTGTGACCTTGTGTGGTGGAGTGACCCTACTCACCTGCCCAGCTCCATGAACCAGTGGATCTAGCACATGGGGCAGTGTTATCTGGCCCACAGGCTCCCCACAGGTTCAGAAATTTCACTCTGGATTAAGTTGTGGCAATTAGCACTGCCACCACTCCCCAGTCACCACAGTTCTGGAGCCCTAGGAGCCCTGCAGGCCAGGTGACAGGGCCCTGAAGGCTGGATCCCACCAGTGCATGGGTTAGGCTGGCACATGGGAGTTTCATAGTTTCATAGTTGGTAAGGTCGGAAGGGACTTATGGAGATCATCTAGTTCGACCCCCTGCCGTGGCAGGAAAGAATACTGGGGTCAAACGACCCCGGCCAGATGTTCGTCCAGCCTCCTTTTTAAAAACCCCCAGGGTAGGAGCCAGCACCACTTCTTTTGGAAATTGGTTCCAGGTCCTAGCCGCCCTGACAGTGAAATAGCGCTTCCTAATGTCTAGCCGGAAACTACCCTCCGCTAGCTTGTGCCCGTTGTTTCTTGTAACTCCTGGGATTGCTCGGGGGAACAGGGACTCTCCCAATGCCTGCTGGTCTCCCTTGACTAGTTTGTAGACTGCCACTAGATCCCCCCTCAGCCTTCTCTTTTGGAGGCTGAACAGGTTCAGGTCCCTCGGCCTCTCCTCGTAGGACCTGTCCTGCTGACCCCTGATCATGCAGGTGGCCCTTCTTTGGACCCTTTTCATATTGGCCACATCCCTCCTGAAGTGCGGCGCCCAGAACTGGATGCAGTACTCCAACTGCGGCCTGTCCAGTGTCGGGGAGAGGGGGAGGATCACCTCCTTGGACCTGCTTGAGATGCATCTGTGGATGCA